GGGGAATTCTGGGAGCTGAAGTCCACACATCTTCAAGTTGCCAAGGTTGAGAAACACTGGTATTGAAGCTTCTGAACTGATACTTGGATCTTTGATGCTGGCAAGGCGGGGAGTATCTACCCGTTTCTGAAAAGCAAGCTAGATTAGGCAGTCTAGGATATCTTGTGATGTATTCCCAGCACCTTCCTCCTACATTTATTTTTATTTATTTCATTTCTATTTCAAATTTGTCACTACCCATCTCACCACAGAATGACTACATAGGGGAACATCAGGGAATTCAGGAGGAGAAGGCAGGACACAGCCCCTGCTTCATGCCCCTCCAACAAGCATCTGCCATCGGAGGCCACTGCCTCACTGTCAGGCTAGCCCTGCTTTTGACATCAAACAGAATGTTCTGAGATGCCCAATATCCCTGAATTCATGGTGCTCACTCTAAGGCAGTTCCACAAATAATGATTAACAATGCCTTTGATTTACATATTATAGTTAGATATAAAAAGCCAGGTTTGCCTAGCTGTCTATTAGCATACCAGCTAACGAACCAACGATTTGCAAAAATCTTACATGCTTTTTCAAAGGAGAGAGAGGCAGGTGGCAAAACTAGCACCACCTCATTTTTAATTTGTGCTTCTCAATTAAATGTGTGTTCAAAATGCTGCTTATTAATTCTGCTGTCATTTTGTATTTTTAAAAAATTTCCCCTGTGTGTTTGATGAGGAGTCTCCAGAGGGAGCTAAAAGCTTGTTGGAAGAAGACAGTGAATGTTAACATGTTCAAGCTAATCTACTTACTGGAATGAATTATTACCTATGATGAAAGTATTCTGCCCAATTCAACAACTGTATTTTATCTTTTAGTATTTCAGACTACATCATTTTAATGTTTAAATGCTATTCTACTTCATTTTTAGAAGTACAGTCTTATTATTGTCACTTGAGAATAAACTTAAATTTGGTTTGGATAACTTTCCTTTAAATCAGTGTGAACTAAAAACTTGGAGACTGTCCCCAAAGCCCACAAGACAGAAGCAAATTATTAAATACATGGCTTATTGACTGTATTTACATTTAGTTAAATTTAAATTAAATTTACAGGTAACTAAATTTGGTTTTATCCTGGTTTTACCTGTTTCTTTATCTTGATTTTTTTGTAATATGGCTCTCAACATGCTAATCGTTGGCCCTCAGCTCAGAAAAAGATGAAAATTGTACCTTTAAAGATTTCAGATTTAGGTATGTCGCATATACGAAGTGGTTTTCATGGGTGGAGATGGCAGGAGACATCTGGAAATGGAATCAGTGGTCCACAACCTACTGTTACACACTAGTTTGCACTGGGGTGTATGGATAGATCAATATTCCTCAAGTTTAGCCCCATTTTCTTTGGACTTTTCCCAATGTGTATTCAATATATTAAATGCACACTGGGAATATGGAACCTGAGGATATTCTTGGAATATACCACAAGAAAAAAAAGGGACAAAGGAGTGGATAGATAATTTGGAGGAACTCTGCAGGATCTGGTCAACATATCTTATTTGTTAAAGAGACAGGCATCAGCTGAAATGATGTCACTTGCTTCAAAAGGCAATATGAGTGTTGAATTCATCCAAATCTGGACAAATATTTGTTGCATTTACTATTCCACTGGCAAAAAACTCACTACGGTACGTGAGCCAAGAATTCCTATTGAAAGGGTGAAGGATTCGTTGCTTCCCATGTTGCTGAGAACAAAACATTTCCACCATTACTAGTGCGTGGGGGGGGGGGCGACAAGTCTTTGACAGCTGCTGCTTGTGTCCCCCGCTGAGCTTAATTGGCACCACCAGGAGCTGAGCTGAGCCATTCAGTCAATAAAGAGAAGAGCTGCCTGGCCTTGAATTCCATTGTGAAGAAATCTGAAGGTTGGTGGGAAGCAGCCCAGCAGTGAAGATTCTGCTCCACAATTCTGAAGGCGGGGTTAAAGGAAGCAGGATAAATGCCGAGATGACAGGCTGCTGTAGATTTACAATAAGGGAGAATAATCTCGCCCAATGATTAGACTGTTGCTGGATGCTCTGAATATGACATCATGTCAGAGCTGTAACCGCAGAATTCAATTATACTAGTCACTGAATTTTAAAGAAACAGGTACAGGGAAACACAAACTCTGAGTTTTTTTCCTCTCAGAGAGTGAGTTTTTCTAAAATATTCGTGCCTCCTAAAAGGCAATATGCATAGGCAATATGGACTATGCTACAGATTTCAGATCAATGAGAGAGGTAAGCTGAGGACATAACCATAGAATCATCGGAGGTCTTCTGGTCCAACCCCTTGCCCAGGGCAGGAATACTCATACCTTCTGGGACAAATGGCTGTCTAATCTTTGCTTAAAACCTCCAGTGATGGAGTAGCCATGACTGTTCCACTGCTTAATAGTTCTCACATTTAGGCGATTCCTCCTCACAATATTTTGATTTGGGATCTCCCTCTGTAAAGCTTCCATCTGTTTTTATCCTACACTCAGGAGCTCTGAAGAATAAATCCATATCCTCTTCCCGTTGACAGCTCTTCAAGTCTTGGAAAACTGCTATCATGGGTCCTGTTAGCTTTCTCTTCCTTAGGCTAAACATACCCAATAGAAATGTTCACAAACGTTTTAACTGAACAACTTCTTTTGTAGATTTTCCTCTATTGTATAACAAGAGAAATGGACCATTTTCAAAAGAAGCTTCTGCCAGCCTTCCACAAGAGGTCGAGGAGAGTTGCTTCAAGACAGAGGTGGGTGACCAAGGGTGGGCAGCACACTTTTTTTGGACCTGCTGTATCATTTTTGTTAACACGCAATTTTAACATTTGTTTTAACATTTAAGTGGACAATCCATTTAAGACACAATGAGACAGAATTGCAGTTCAGAAGACTTCAGTCTCTCTTGCAACATTGGCCCTGCCCAACTAAGGGCATCAGTGCCCTTGAGATAAGATATTTGAGAGGGAAAATGGCTGTTTTTTGCAGTAACATTTGTCCTACATGGATTAGCAGAAAAGAATCATTTCAGTGGAGCTGACAAGCCTTGAGAGTGGTTCTGTTGCATCCCTGATCTTTGCTGTTGGCAAACAGGCTACTTCATAAGTCAGTCAATCCACCCAGTATGCATTTGTTTTAATTGCTTGTAGAGTGAGTAATTAACTACTACAGCTCTTCTGTTAATTTCTGGAAGGGTGCAACTGCTTACCCTTGGCCTTCAGGGATCCTGTCTCTTCTTGAAGCTTAAAGCCTATTAACCTGCAAGAGCCTGAACACTGTTTTGGGTTCCAGGGAAGCAGAATATCTCCTCAACCCCCTCTCTCCATCCCTTCCCCATCCCTGCCAGATGGGCTATTCTTAATGTTAATATGCTTCCCTCCAAGCACCTTAATATGAATTGTAGAATCATAGAGTTGGAAGGGACCTAAGAGATTATCAAGTCCAAGTCCCTGCATAATGCAGGATTCAGTTCAACGTCCCTGAATCTATGCTGTCCTCCGATTTATGAGGCAGAAGGAAAAAAGGCTGGCACCCTTTGTGCTACTCTCAGCAATGAGAAAAACCTCAGAAATTTAATGCGGGATAACTTAATGAATGTGTTTGGTGGATTCTCCTGGTGTTACCAGCCAGTAGGAAAGATAACCAACCATCACTGTCCCTAAGGGAAGAAGCAGGTTTTGACAGACAGCTAAAGCCAGGGTTGTAACCATCTGTCAAAACCTGCTCCCAATATATGATCAACAAATGCATGGTAGAGGAACTGATTCTGTAGTCAATGCCCTCTTGCTTTATTAGGTACCACCCATCCATCCCAGAGTGGATGATCTGCAGAGTCAGTAAAATAGGAGAGGAGATGTTCTCTTGCTTTATCAGGAACCAATGGATGAGCTGCAGTATCTGATCTGCAGGACAGGTGGGCGCTTCCCAGGAGCATCCTCCATAGTAGATATTCTGCACTGCTACCACCCACCCTGTGGAACAGGTCCTGTTTTTAAACACAGTTCTGTGAGAGAGCACAAGGCTGTGTTTAAAAATAGCTCTCTCCGCTTATTCTACCAACCCAAATGATAGGTGACAGGCGTGTGTGTGTGCATGTGCCAAAGCAGGACAGCTAAAAACAAGTGTAAGCTGCCTCTATGGTGGGCTGAGGATGACACAAAGGCAATGTTTCCAGTGACATGACTTACAAAGATCATTATCAGGGCATTTTTCATACCATGAGGAACAGGATGTGAGGATGAAACCATAGTAATTCTTTTTCATTATGCTTGCTTCCTTGTTCAGTTTTCTTCTGAAGAGTTGCTTCCATTCTCAGCTCCTGTTAGTGCCTCCTTTTCTGTATCCGATACATCTTCATCCTCTCTCATCAGCTGAAGTACGGCTATGCTTCAGCCTTGGGGCTTTTTCTTCAAGGCAATTACGAGTCTATGCTTGCTACAGATACGTGCCAGGTTATTTTCAGGCAGGAATACAAACATAGCACAAGTATGGCAGGTCATAATTGCAGACTCTTGTCCATCTGTCCTAATGCTTGTTTTTTTTTAAGATTCTAGTGGTAGAAGAGTTTTCTTGTTCCCATTTCAAGTTCTCAAGTTAGCAAAGTGTGGACTTCATTTAGGCAGAAGATTTTTTAAAAATAAATATCCTTTGAGTTCCCCTGTAGAACCTCACTGTTGGCTTTTCCTGTTCACTTGCTTACTTCTATGCCAGATAACCACAGCCTGGCAGATGGTTAAGTTCTGCTCATTGTGCTCCCTTGCCCCATGCCAGGGGTGTCCACAGGGTACGGTCAAAAAAATAAAGATGGCAGCTGTAACAGCATTGATGCACATAAAAAATGGGCAGACCTTTTATTGCACCAGTATGGCTGCCATCTTTAGGTGTTTTGTTTTTTTTTACTGTACCCTGGTGGACACCCTTGCCACGTGCATAGCTTTCTCTCCCTCCCCATCCATCCACTGCTACACTTCCCATTATTTCTCCAACAGATACTCTCTCAGCTGCTTTCTCCCAGATCTCTCTCTCTCTCTCTCTCTCTCTCTGCCTTTCCAGCCCTACCTTTCTTTCCCTTTCTCCTTCTCCAGCCCCCTGACAATCCTTTCCAGCCTATCTTCCCAGTGGTCCTTGGGCATTAGCACCCTCTTCTTCAACTCTTCCTGGGCCACCCCTGTTCTCCTTCACATATTTGCCACACCAGTTGTTGGATTCTTCCCCCCAAAAGCAAAAAGATCTGCACTTCACCTTGGCATCTTTCCAACAAGGTTTGTGAAGTGTGTTAGCCTAGCTTATCTTACAAAACAGCAGGGTAGCCAACCTGCTTTTGTTCTGTTTTGTTTTCACTCAGATGGATGCACCCAGGGTGGGCAGGCAGTGAAAATGTACACAAACATAGGATGACTTTGCTTTTCTCCATGTCTCAACTCCAGGAAAGGCATCATTATATTGTCTGATGATTTTTCTAAGAACAACCTTTGGAAAATTCTGGACACTGTTAATAGCCCTCTGACTTTGCCAACTGTACCATGTTTAACAAGCCAAGCTCTAGTGTCTATTTAAAAACCATTTTCTTTCATCACTGATAAAATCAAATATTAACAAAAATTCAGATAGAACATTTGCATGTTGTTACATGGAAATGGAACTATGCCTTTCCATGTAATAATACCAAATAATGCACTTGGAGTTCCTGGTAGTTGTTTAATAATTTGTATAATACCTTTATTGGCCCAGTAAAGAGGATCAAGCAAAACCAATATACTGTAGAAAGAATAATCACCAAAAAAAGGTGAATAAAAGATGTCCCCTACAGTATTTTTCAGTTCATAAGAAAACATATATCCTGTCTCAATAATACAATAACACATGTAATATTAGAACTGAGAGAACATAATTAACATGGGCTGTACATATAAAAGGACATAAATATAAACTCTTTTATGAGGAGAAATACTTGACTTTAAAAGTGGGGCCACTGCCAGTTGGTGTCCCTTCTCTAATTATAATTTTAATTCTTTAAATATTTCTATAGTGCTTGTCTTACAAAACATTCTCATGCAGAAAACAGCGTTCCTTATGTTTCTCTGTGGCCATTTATTAAAGTAGATATAGGAACATTCATTGTTTATCACATTCCAAGTTTCACTGACCTCCCTCAATAGAGCCTGCAAAGAAAAGAGCTCTGTGTTATAATACCTTTTCCTGCACCTGCTACAGTTAGGGCCCAGTGGGATGAGATGTGATAGAAGCTGACAATGGCTACACAGGCTTCAGGTAACACTGTCTGAGGACTGCTTCAGATTATGGGAGTTCATATGAGTGCCTAGTCCAGAACTGAAAAGGCAGAGTTGCACAGAACAATGTTCTTCTGCCAATATATCTCTAACTTGCTGTACATTTTTATAGGTGCAGGGAAACTATCCATGCAATCTCTTTTCTGGCATAGTTATATTTGGAGAGCTGTATAATTTAGGGATCCTGCTAAGAAAGGGGACATAGTCCCCAATCTTCCAGAGCAGATTTTGGAAGAAACTGGTGAGGGAGTTGATGAAGATTGCTCTCTCCTCCATTTCACGGCAGGGTTTCCTCTAGTGGATCATATGTTTCCAAAGTTCAAAAAAGATTCCCTCTGTGTCCAGGAGAGAGTTTTTGAGTTCAAGTTAAAGGGATTAAGGCTTTTAATCAATTTATAAAAACTGAAAGTTGTGGGCTAAAATGCATCAAGGTGGCCACTAGTCCAGTCCAGTGAGGGTCAAAGAGATGCTTTTGATCATTCAACCACCCTGCATAATTCACAACTCTTGGTCCTACTTCAGTTTGGCTGGAAATTCTTGTTTCAGACCTTTGCAGCTAAGCTCAGTAGTAAATTGCTAAGGTCCGTTCATCCATCCATCCATGCATGAATCCATCCAATGTAGTTCAGCTTTTAGTTCAGACAAGCTGTGTGTTTCTTGAGCCATGCAGTTGAGGAATAAGCATCTCTTAATAATGAGGAATGGTTGGAAGACAGAATCAGGAGGGCTGCATATTATCTAGCTGTGGTACAGCCTGTTGCAAATAGACTCCCACAATTATAACTCCACAAATATTTTTATTGCGCTCAGAGGCCCTTGGCTAAAATCACCATCAACAGTGTTCTTTTTCTGTTTTTATTGGAATGGCTTTCTGGCTCCCTCTTTTGTCTTGACATTTATACGTGCATTTTTAGAACTGATTTATTTCAAAATCCTCCCCAAATAGAAGCATGGCTGATGAGCTACATTTTTCCTCTAAAAATAACCATTTTATGCATTCCTTACAGCTGACGTCTCCCAACAAAATTCCAGAAATGAGAGCACATTTGCAACCTCATAGCCCAGAATTTCAATTCAAAGAAAAAGCCACAGATGTATCTGGAAAAATCCCTTTCTATATTCCTCATTCCTGTTGCGCAGATAGTTATCCAGTGGCACATGGTGAATCCCTTTCTCATGCTGACTGGACTTCAGTTCCCAGTCCCCTTAAACCTGGAGCCAACCACTGTGGTGCTGATGAGCAATATGAAGGAAATGAGGCAGTAAATAGTCAGCAACTGACTTCAAGATTGTTTACAAAAAACTCAGATACATCCTCTGTAAACCTTGATGAAGGAGATAAAACTGCTTTGGTGCCTGCCAAAGAACAGCAAAACAGACACTTAAACAAAGCTAAAAGTAAAATAATGAGGAAGTTAACTCTTTCAATGGAGCGGCAGGCCAGAGCCCTTGCTCTGAACAATTCTCAGCTAGATGGGGCAAGAATTGCAGATCAAGGCCAAGGAATTCCAGGGCCAAAGAACGCTTATTTTACTGGAGATGAGCACATTCCAAAGCAACTTAGTTATGATAGGTCTCCTAAATTCTTGGATAACCATTTGCCAGTTTTGGTTCCTGAGCACAAACATCCAAAATACGTTGATAAATGTCCAAAGAAATGCATGGCTGCTCAGCCTAAATGGTCACTGAAGGTAATGGCCAATGCCATTAAAAAATCCATCCTTACTTCTCCTTCAGAAGGTTTGAAAAAAAGCCAGGACGCACATACCAAACTTCCTCTGGAAAACGCCTCCTTCAATTTCCCTCATAGCCTGGTTCATCCTGAGAATTTGGAAAATACTAAGGATCAGGAAGACTCCAATGCAGAAATGCAGGATTTCTTTGTGTTGAGTACTAAAGAACAGGGCTTTGGACCTGGGAGTTCAGATATCTCTAATTTTTCCAGGAGTCCAATTGAAGGTTGTCTGTATGATGATAAAAGCTCATATTCTCCAGAATACAATGTGCATATGTGCTCATCCAGCAGTACTCACCAATCTGAACCTTCTTACTCTAATGAAATTGATGTTCCCATGCTTTTAGAAAGATTTACCCTTAAAGAAAATAGCCGGAAGTCATCCACTGATGATTGGCATGCTTGTAATCAAAAGAACATGCTATATTCATCTTTAAGGCATAAAAAGAAAAGTGATGATGCCATCTTAGATGGTCCAGTTCAAAGGAACAATGTGTGGAATCTGTTCAGTAATTTGAGGAATAAAGAAGATGACAACGTTGAAAGCCCTTTGTTAATGCCAGCTGTCCCTCCGGCTACCATCATTGATGTTGATGAAGTACTAAGTAATTCTTCCAAAGGAGAATATTTGGGTAAGCATGCTATTTAAAAGTATTTTAAATTAAGGATAACATGTTATCCTATCGAAGCATATATTTTGCTACCGTATTGGGATCTGTCCTCCAATTTTCCCTGTGAAAGAGATTTTGGTTTTTTAGGTCATTTTCAGGATACTTTAGAATTTTCTTTAGAATTTCTTTTGGTGGTGTTCTTGAACTTCCTTTATTTCATCAAGTGAGCAGAGGGTTGGGTTATGATTGCTTGTTTCATATCTGCCCAGCATTCTGCAAACTTCTTGGCTGCTCGTCTCCTAGATTAAAAAGGCTTCATAGAAGACAGTCCTGCTTTGATGTCTTCCCTTGAGATTTAATTGAAATGTGGCAAGTTAGGCCAATAGAGAGGTGATTTTATATCATGAAAATAATGAAGAGTGGTAATCTTACATGTAGAGATCTAGCATGGCTTACCCTCCAAAACTGTATGCTGAAAATCAGGAAATCAATTGGCTACATCACATTTAAATTAAATGCAAGAACTCCACACACAAATAATGAAAGATTTCCAGATGGTTTTCTCCTCTTTTATATTTTTCTGAAAGCAGTTTCTTTTCTATGAAATTGAATGAGAGTGATAAAAAAATGCAGAATAATACAAAATAATGCAGAATAATATAGAAAAATGGGAGACATCAAGGATTCCTAACAATCTTGGTCTAGTAGAACATCTACAGGGAAGGTTCAGATTGCTCTCTTTCAGTTCTGAAGATGGCAAAGGAATTAAATTCTTGCATTCCTTAACTATTTAGCTGGACTGTCATGTACATATGTATCTAGTAACCTAACGAACTTACTAGGTTGGGCAAGAATCAATTGTCTGTGTGAGGAAGAGGGGCTACTCATTCACTGTATAGATAGTTTGAGGGGACCTTTCCTATTTTTATGCTCAGCAGTGAATGTAGCATGATGTGATAGGACTTTAGCTACAGTAGGAACTCCTACTGTACCCTAACTCTAACTCCTAACCCAGTATTCCAGCATTGCTTGAAGTTATGCAAGAATGCCAAGTATTACAAAGACTTGACTATTCCATCAGACCAATTTTGAATCTACACACAAAAAGACACTAGCTGCATTCTCATTTTGGCCTTTGCTCTGAAGCTTCTCTCTTTAGATGCAGATTAACCCTAATTTATCTTAACTGAAAATAGTTTATGAACTTTGACTTAGCTTTCAGGTGGATTTCATGGAATTCTTTCATGAAATTTACTTGAATTCATTTCCAATATAGCATTGTTACAAGGAATGTCTTTTCTCAGAGGTTCCCTGGTATTCCTTGCACATTTTAGCATGCTGTAAGCTGTAGGAATACAAAATATATTCCACTACTATTTGGATGATTCTGTCATCCTCAAAGGTTTCAGATTCAGAGTCATATTTAACACCAGCCCGTAATATGGGGCTTTATTCTCCATTTCAGTTGTTTTCTAATGTGTTTTTCTGTCACTTTGTGAACTATCAGGACATTTTCTCTATCTATAGCTCCTGGCCTTAATGGTAGGTACTGCTCTTTTATGCCCTCTTCGGCTTAAAATGCACTCTAGCAGGATGAGCTGTTGAGGGTAGCACATATAAAAATAACCTTCCTGGATCACAACCTTCCATTGTGTGGCTAGGCCCTCCCAAAATAATATTTTCTCCCCCGAATGCAAAACAACATCTCTGCATGCTTGCACAAAATGCATTTCTGCCATCAGTTATAGCAAATTCACAGTTACTTGTCTGATATTAAGCAAGAAGCCCTCAATCACCTTAAACAATGTGTCCTTGTCACTCATGCCCTGAACATAGTGAATCCAGGTGTTAATCATTAATCTTGCGGCAAATTAAGTGCAGCAGATGTTCCTTGCGCTTCTGTTGTTTAGTTTATCAAGAGGAGGGAGATATGAATTACACAAGTAAATTGTTAGGAGGACAGGTTTAGTCCCTGTTAAGACATCATGTTGATGAGCCAGGTAACAAGCAGAGTTAGGGCATAACAATGAAATCAACTTGGAATGCAAGTTATTCCCAGACATCCTCCTTCCATTCCCATTGGGAGGATTTTTGTGTTGTTGCAATGTGCACGTTTATAAACAGCATCTACTATTTAATGCCTGCTGTGATAATCTTGAGAGAGTGAAAATACAAGTGACATTTATTTAGATCTCATTAATGAAATATTTATGCTGCAGGAGGCTGAATGATAAAGCCTCCATCAAGAAGTCCATTTGCTTCTGATTATATTTGTGACTTCTTTAAAAATATGACCAGACATTCTGACGCCAGCTATTTTACATTGAGCAGATGTCACAGAAGAAAAATGGGTGCCAGATGCTACAAGCCACATAAGAGTAATTTGTTTAAGAGCTGGCTCAGTCTTGGTGCATTCAATTATGCCACATGGTGAGTCCTGGACAATCACTAGATAATGTGGCTAACTTGAGATATGCATTTTAATAACAGATCTAATTTTTAATGTAGGGAGAGCCATTGTTTGCACATAAAATGTGATATGTTTGAATTGCGGGGATGACCACAGGATTGCCAAACAGTGAAGGCCTTGAACGGTAGCCAAAACTTAATTAATATAATCAGTCAGTTTTACAAATTGTTGTTGGGTATAGCCTTGAGAAGCTACAGGCAGGTGCAGCATAAGCGGTTGCAGCCGGATCCATTCAAAGTTTGGGAAAAGAGTAAAGGTTGCATCACTGAGCCTTTTGTTCCTCTTTCAGGATCTGACTGTCTACCTGCCAGGAAACAAGCAGCAATTGACTACTGTTCATCATCCTCTGATGGTGAACTGGAATATCAGTCTTCGCTGCCGCTCAAGGTAAATTGTTAAAAGGCTCTTTCCCTCCAAATGTTTATTGTTTGCACGTCATTTTAGAAAAAAAAATTATCTACAGTTAATGCTATCCTCTATTCGTCTGTCCAGTAGTATATTATTGAATCTTAAGGATGAAAGGGGATTACAGTTGCTCCGATCTCCCACAGGGTTGGCACAAATGACCACCTATTTTTCTAGAGGACTTCTTTGAATACTGGAATACTACATTAATAGCTTGAGGTACCAGAAAGAGACTAAGACTGGATGAGGAGAGTCAACTAAGTGCAATAATTAAATAGGCAATCATATTCTAGGGTTGTAATTTCTTTGTAGCAGAGCTTACTTCGTGGGCCAAAATCTTAAAAGTAGCATTCCATGGAGTCCAGTTTGAGTCTAGGAAACCACAAGGACACATCCATGTAGTTTTCTAGGCAGCAGTTTGCAAGTGGCTTGCCACGGTCTTCTTCCAGGATGTATTTTCAACTTAGTCTAGTTTACATACCTCTGGGATTTCTTCTTGGTGGTCTTCCATCTAAGGACTAACCAGGTCCAACCCCGCATAACTTATTTTGAAATCAGCTAAAGTCAGTTGGAAGCTGCCACCTACTGAGAACGGACACATTATTAAGTAGCAAGTTGAAACTAGTTGGAAAATATTTACTTGCTGAAGCACTTCTGCCATGCAACCATTAAGAAGCTCTTGTCAATTACTAAAGAGCAGTGGGGAACACTCCCTCTCTTACTTCACCACCTATGATTATTCCAGTGTGAAGGTGGGCAACCTTTTGTTTCCCAGTGACACACAGAACATTTAAGGGGAATGAAGGCTGCAGTGGGGCAGGCAGGGGGAGAATGAAGCAGAGTGGATAAGGTAGTATCATTCAGGTGGACAAAGCCAGGATTTTCTGTTCCTTTCCAGAGTTTTGCTAGGAAACAGTACCATCGGTTTCAGCACTTGCAGGCTCCAGAGAGTTCCAAAAAGAGTGTTAGGATAAAAGGCAGTTGCCGCTGTGATTCTAATAGTCTGGGTTGACATTACTCTATATATGGCGCTAAGCTCCACTCCGGGCACTGGCCAGGCTAGTGGGGAGTGCTGAAAACTGCAATCTGGGGAGCCAGAGGCTTTTGTGTGATCCCAAAAGCTCCCTCCTCATTGGCCTCAGCCAAAAAAAAAAAAAGAGTCCTGGGAATTCCTGGAATTCCTGGAAGCTTGGCATTCAGCCCATCAGCCATCAATAGACACGTAGAGATAAATTCAAAAGGGACAATAAAAAAGCTAAGAAGTAAGCAAAAGGATCAGAACACATCCTCTCCAGCAGCCAACACTCAGATAAGCAGGGATTAACACCAGACAAACAATCAAGCAGAAAACAATACCCCAGTCAAGGACCTACCAAGGAGAAAACCACACCCCCACCAACACTGGCAGGGCAAGCTATTATGTGTAAACGGGGAGCAAACCAACCCCAGGCTCACTAACATGGATGATGTTACCTAGTCAGGTGATGAAACATCTGCAAGCAAACAAGCTCAGACAACACCAAGAACTCCACAAAAAAAAAGAAAGAAAGAAAGAAAGAAAAAAAGCTGGACATAAGAAAAATGCAGTGCAGATTAGAATGAGGACAAAGGGGAAACATTGATAAAAGAAAAACATCAAGTATATGTTTAAGGCTTGGGCATTAATTTTATATAATATGAAACAGGTCTGTTTATGTTTTAAATGGCATCTTTTCTTTGATTCTGCTTGATGACAAAATGAGTTGAATAGATACATGCATTTAAAATAGCTGGTCTGGAATGATTTGCCTTCAGTTAATAGTGTGTGTGTGTGTGTGTGTGTGTGTGTAAGAGTATGCATATATATGTACACACACGTACTTCCATCTCAGGGGTGGTATAAAGATAGATAAATAGATAGACAGACAGAATGTGCGGTCTGCCTGCTGCTAAGGCTTTCTTACTATTTCTTGGAAGCATCTGGCTGGCTACTACTTTTTGTCGATGCTTTTCATTTATTAAATATTTATGCCCAGCCTTTTTTAGTTTCAGTTCCACCTATTTTTTCCCCAGGCCCTTCCAGCTCTTTGAACACAACTTTTCAGCATACTACACACGATTGAATATGGCACTCAGCCACAAAAATATAGTTCACCCTTGTGGATTCTCCTTGTGAGATGCTTTGAATGGCTGTAGGGGGTCTTTTTCTTTATTTAATTTAAATCAAAATAAATGCTGATGACCTGAACGCAACACCCAATTTTGCAAATGCTCTCCTGCCTATTATTTCACATATTTAAGGTATGGATTTACTTGTGAGCTGCCCGGAGTCTTTGCGAGTCGGGTGGCATACAAATTTAATAAATAAACGAACAAAGGACAAACTCAAGACAGCAGAAAATGAAGAGAACTTGGCAAGGAACATTGCATGGAGAAACAGATAAAACAGGCAACAGGTAGGATGCAAAGAGGGTGTTATGGGATATTAAAATGAGAGAAGTACAAAGAGAAAAAGAATATAAAAGAAGATATTGTATTAAACATGGCATTTCAAATCAGTGAAATAAAGATTTACTGCCAGGGAGGGAGTACTCACTGATCTACCTATTCATTTTTTAAATATAGGTCTAAAAGTGGAGACTCAAGCAACTGGAGGAATTAAAAAAACAGTGTATTACTGGGCTTATTATTTTAAAAAAGAGCCCAGAGAAATGTAGGTGCCTCAGGGAAAGAAAAACAGTATTTCTTTTTAATTTCTTCCAGGTTTTAAACCAGTAACCTTATATTTGCATGGCAAGTATAATGACCACTACACTACGGAAACACTATAGTCCTGATAAAAAGTCACTCTAGAAGACATTAGAAACCAACAGAGCAAAAAGAAAGGAAAAGTTATTTTAAAGCTGGCTGTTATGCCTTTATATGTACTTTGAGGCTCTAACTTTGTATATATACATTTAATTTAGCATTGTGTTAAATTATTTATGTATTATGTATGTGTGTATGTGTGTGGAAAGAGAGAGAGAGAGAGAGCAAGCACCAATTTATTTCTTTTTTAAATTTGTTTATTACAAAAAGAAAAAAAATAAAAGTAGTTTAACAAAAAAGTGAAAAAAATGCAACAGAGAAAAAAGTGTTAATATATCATTATAATAATAAACAATTTCAATTCTACATATGCCTATCTCATACAAATATTATTCAAGTACATATATATTTCTAATAGATTTATATGATTATCATTATTTTTTTTTAACCCACTGTATTTTGTATAAACGAGTCCCATATTTCATTATACTTGTCCATACAAAGTCTACATCTACAGGCAATCCGCTCATAAGTGACAAGCACAATCAGGTCTTCAATCCATTGAATAAATGGAGCCATACTTGTATCTTTCCAATGCTGCAATATCAGTCTTTTGGCCACAGTAAGGGCACGGAGAATCCATTTACGTTTTCCATATGTCAAATTCCATGTACTAGGTATATAGTTAAAAAGAATATTATCCTCTGAAATTTTTAGCTTTTGTT